ATTGAAAGTCGTAGAACTCTGTATAATTTCATCTCCGTAATTTTTCTATAATCTACCTATCAATTAATTTTTTTTATATATCTAGTATATATCTAGCGACATCTGAATAAGATTAAAAAGTTTGTTTAACAGCTTTTGAATAGGTCGCATTCAAATTCTATTTTGCCCTGTTGCTTCTCAAAACGAGTTAAAGCTAACAGAAGTGACTTATAGTTGGATTCGGTTTTATATATATAAATTTGCGATTTATTATAGACTCTCTTGTTAAAAATATAGTTTATTGAACTATAAATAAAGTAAAAAAATTTACGAAAAGTTCGGAAAAGATAGTAATAATTTTAATATCAGAGTTTCTGATTAATATTAGACAAAATAATATTCTATTTAAGTATATAAAATAAAAAACTCCTTTGTTGGAATAAAAAATTGAAAGATTTTAAGATACAGTTAAGTTTCGAACATATGAAGAATATATGTACTTGATAGGGTATCTATTATCTTGAGCAATTTGTTATATGTACATATTTTAGCAAGATAATAGATTTTATTTCTGGAGAAGTGTATCACGCGAAATAAAAATATTTTATTTAAAAATTTTGATGTACAATAAATATCTCAAAAAATAAACCAAACATTTAATATTGACTCGATAAGATGCTAGCGTTTGTTTTAATTCTCTAGTTCTAAAAATAAAAACCATTTTTGGGAATGCAGTATAAAAACAGAAATCTAATTGAACACAAGTCCAACGAGTGTTGCATAGAGTGAATAACATTTGGAAAAATGTTGGATACATTATCCAATGCACAGTGCCCTGGTCGCAGCGTTGGAGTTTTTGACTCTTTTGCATTTAGGCTTATACAGGCAGTTCTAGCAGCGCAATGCGCTTTGTCGCCTCCAGAATTTTGGCCTCCAGATTATGGTGATCAAGCAATTTTACATGGCTTGGATAAATATGATTTTGTTGTTATTGGTGCGGGATCAGGAGGTTCAGTAGTACCAAGTCGTTTAACAGAAAATCCTAACTGGAAAGTGTTAGTGCTTGAGGAAGGCGGTGATCCCCCCCAAGAATCAGAGGTATTTTCCAAAATTAGTTGTTGCTTATTTAGTTGTAAAAACGTTTTTATTCTTAGGCACCACCATTTATGTTCACCATGGCTCAAACCAATTACTCAAATAATTATTATGCTGAACCAAGTGAGGTGGCATGCTGGGCACTTAAAAATCGACAGTGTTATATGCTTACTGGCAAAATGATTGGTGGTACCGGTTCTATGAATGGCATGATATATATTCGTGGTAACAGTCATGATTACGATGGTTGGTTGGAAGATGGTAATGATGGCTGGGGTTGGGAGGATGTATTACCTTATTTTGAGAAATCTGTGCGACCAGTTGGAAACGACACTCATCCACAAGGTTATGTCGCACTGAATCATTATGCGTCTTTTGATGAGGACATAAAACGTATTATTCGAAGAGCTGCGGACGAACTCAAAATTCCGATAGTTCGGGAATTTATTGAAAACAGTGAAGTAGGTTATACAGATGTGTATGGCACTGTATTAAATGGCCATCGTATGGGCAGTGGAAAGGGTCATTTGGGTAAAGTTTCAAAACGTCCAAATCTGCATGTCATGAAAAATACTAAAGTTACAAAATTGAATTTCGAAAAAAATGGAAAGAGGGTAAAATCGATATCCCTTCTATTGCGTGGAAAATATTGGTTCACCGTGAGAGCAAAAAAAGAATATGTGCTTTCTGCTGGCACCATTAATTCAGGTAATCTTTTGTTATTATCTGGTGTGGGTCCTAAATTAGATCTGCAGGAATTAAAAATACCAGTCATACATGATTTACCTGTAGGTAAAAATCTACAAGATCACGTAGGTGTGCCACTTTTTTACGCTATACAGAAAGGTACTGCAATGCCAATAACAGAGCAGCAAAAACTAGATAATATTTATAATTATCTGTTTCACTCCAATGGACCTTTAAGCAGTTTGGGTTTAACAGCTACAACTGGTTTTATCGATACTAAAAATCGTGGAACAACTACACCAACTATTGAAATGCACCAATTGTTTTTCAGATGTCAGGATCACGACGGCTTGAGAATATTTCTAGAAGGAATGTCTTATAATGATGAGGTATCACGGAATTTACATAATGTGATCAAAACTGCACATGTAATGGTGGTGCTGACATCAATTGCTCATCCAAAATCGGTTGGGCAACTTAAGTTGCGTAGTAGAAACTTTCAAGACCATCCAATTATTATCGCAAATCTTTTAAAAATCGATGACGATATTGAAACATTTGTACGATCTAGAATTCACCACGACAGAATGGAACGAACAAATGCATTTGTTGAAAATGAGGTCAATCTATTACACATTCCCATAAAGGAGTGTGATAGATACGAGTTTAAGACAGAACGCTATTGGCGATGTTATACAAAGTATTTTAGTACAGCACTCTATCACCTTGTTGGTACAGTAAAAATGGGTGGTAAGAATGATAAAACCGCTTGCGTTAATACACGTTTGCAATTGCTTGGTGTTGACAACTTGCGTTTAGCCGATGCTTCCATAATGCCCAAAATCCCTACTGCGAATACAAATGCACCAACTATAATGATTGCTGAACGTGCTGCAGATTTTATTAAGCAAAGATGGAGCAGAATGAATGTACTTTAAAATTTTCTGTATAGATAAAAAATATTGTTTGTATATATTGAATGAATAAATAAAATAAAATGAATTAAAATAAAATAATATATATATTTTGTTATCTAGATAAAGATAAGATAAAGATAAAGATGAGATCTTCTTTAAAAAATAAAATAATAAAACTAAATAATTTTATAACAACTGTTATCGGTGAGCCCTTTTAGGACTTCACATTTAAATATTTCTATATTGCCAAAATGACTTATATATATATATATATATATATATATGATATGGAGTGATTGCAATTTAAATAATGCGTTTATCTTTAAAGCTACATTTAAATGATGATAAAAATAAAATGCTTAAATTAATTTTTTACTTTGATATCTTTTAGTGGGTGTATCTGTATTTTCACCTAAATAATATAACACTTTGTCAAATTTATACCATCAGTCAAATTCTATATTTAATATGGGAAAATATTTCAGATAATAATATTTTTGATAGATTTACTTTTAACAAATTTAATTTGTTAAACATACATAAAGACGGTGATAAGGTATAGGTATATATTAAAGTAAATAAAATAATTTTTTTAAAAGCGATTTAATACATATATATGTACATAAAAAAGAATTCAAATATTAACAATGTATTCATTTTAAGTGAAAATAATTTTTAATAAATTTACAAAAATAGATATGTATTATATATTAATTAAATTAAAATATTTGTAAAGCATTTTTTCTTATGGGAATTTCGACAAATAAAAATAATAAAAAATAATAAAAATAATAAAAAATAATAAAAAAAATAAAAAAATAATAAAAAAAAATAAAAAAATTCATTAAGATGAACCGTTTATATTCACGTATTTGATTTACACTACCAAGCGGCAGGGTTTTTAAAAAAATTCGACCAAAAAAAAACTGTATTACGAGTCCTCAAAAACAGTTGATTCGAAAACAGTCCTCATAAACAGATTTGGTTCATCAAATATCTATTTGTTTCATGACTAAAATTTTGTTCTTGCAAAAAACTAAAAATAAGAAGAAAATAGGTTTTTTATAATTTTTTGATCTTTCATTTTTAGCATATGAATACCTTATTGTTTTCGATCGTTTCCCGCCATCTGTAGTTAATTTTTGAAGCAATTCAGTGACTGGTTTTAAAATTTTTTGCTACTCAATATTTGTAGTAATTGTAATTGAAATAATGATAAATATTAGGACAGACTTCTATCATTATCTTTAACAACAAAATATATATGCCGCTTTTTGTACCTCCAAAACGGTTTATTGGATGTGATAGACTGAACTATTTAATGTTAATAGTAAAGACTGTTTTGTTTATTTACATTAGAAACATAGCAAAATACACGCGGAAGCCTTATCGAATAAAGGTAATCTATTGCATATATACATGCATAATATTTCAAAGGATTGAAATCAATGGTAGTGAGGCTCCTAAGACGGTTCTTCAAATCAGGATATGGTATGTCCACTCGTATTGTATGTTTTAAGGTGCATATTAAAAATTTAAAACTATTTAATTCATGTTTCACTTGTAATGTGACAGTGAGGAGTAATCATTTGTAATCATATCTTGTTGAAATTGCATGGAATATACGTACTTTTTAACCTTGTCAATTTCAACTAATATTCTAATAATATTCTTTTCATTTGATTCAGGTAATTTTAAAGAAGTCATATCAGCTGCAGAACTGTTAAGTATAGATATAGTTTTCAGTGGTATATACCTTGTTGAGGTGAGATTAAAAATACAGCTTTCTCCTTTTCTCTTGGTTTACTTGGGTGGCTAAATGAAATTGACATGCAAAATAGAGTCAGGAAGGGATGAAGGTATGCTGCTTGAGT